GAAGTGAATTCAGATACCAGTTTGGTAACCCGTGTGGATGCGGGGTCCAATACCCCCACCGCGACCCTGCAAAATATAAGAGGCAACGAAAAGAAAGTCTCAGATCTGAGACAGTAAAATAGGGCCGCCGAGTCCCAAGGGACTCGAATCCGAGAAAGTATACACTGGCAAGGGGTAGTAGCATATACAAAGACAGACACGTCCTCTCGTCAGAGAGGGCGCCTCACAAGAACTAGACCCTAACTGTTAAACAGTAATAAATATATGGTCGTGAGCCCCAGATGGGGCTCGACACTAAGACTTACTGACTGACTTTGACACCAGTTCAGTTCAGGGCATTTACGAGTGAATAACAGTGCAGAAGCAACGAACAAGCAAGCAAAGAGCTAGCCACGGGAAGTTCATAGTTGAAGAAGTAGAAATCGGACTGTCAGTATTTAACGTGGATTAAAAGACTTTATTTCTGCGTAATATTTGGAGTGTGTGATTCAGTGAGACTGGTATAGTTCCCGTGCAGTTAGACTGAGAAGATTAGTGTGGAGTAATTGTTCATTGCCTAAATCAGCAGTACCTTTTTAGTTATTTGAATTTACGATCTGTAAGTATCCAGTAAATCCAATTGCAAATCCAAACCCGCGTCTTAGTCACTGCGGCACGTGACAGTATAAAATAATTGATATATAAGTGCAACAGGATGCTTACATACTCGTACAATAATACTACACCCATGACCGGATGCGACGGAACACACAGGACTGCAAAGAAATCTTCTATTCGAGAAATTTTCGGTTAAAATCTCGGCTAGGATGCGATGTTGCCCCTATTTTCTTCAGCCTCTCTATGCTAATGCTGGGATAGTACCCAAACTGAGCCATAATCCTTCCCTTCCAAACATTTGCATTTCTTCATTCATGGGTCATCCCACCAAGCGATAGTTTTGTAGTCTCAAGACTGGAAGTGTCAAGTAACCCACAAGAGAAGAGGCCGCGCCATAGCTCAAGAGGTTAGTCGCTGGCTTCCCACCGTGGCGGCCCGGGTTCGATCCCGAGTCTGGTTAAGTGTGATTTGTGATGGACAAAGTGGCGCTGGGGCAGGTTTTCTCCGAGTACTTCGGTTTCCCCTGCCAATCTTCATTCCACCAATTGCTCCACAGTCACCCTCACCTATCATCTGGGGCTGGTACAATAGGCCAGAAGTGGCAGCAGTACAAGGGACTTAGTCCCACTCCACTAGCAATAAAAAAAAAAAACCCACAAGAGAATCGTATGGCGTCCACGTCAAATTAAGTTGAATCAATATAACGAAACATATTTCAGGTTATAGCGCCAATATTTATTATTTAACAATTCAATTTCTATGCCCTTTAATTATAAATTACGATCAATCACAACAGTTACGTAATTTGATTGCTGTTTAATAGTTCTTGAAGGAATTAATTTTCCTATTGAAACCTCCCGCCCCCCACCCCCATGCCCGCTTCATTTCGAAGTTTTAGTTTGCTTGTTCGAGCAGCTCATCCAATCAGTGAGCCATCTGGACTCCAGTGATTGAAGTGGGAGTTAGAAAATCACAGCTCCATACATTTCAGATTGTATGCGAATGTTCCGTCTTCATGTTGATCCATAACTGTGTATTATATTGTGACATAGAGACCCGTTGCTAGGCAAAGATTTCGAAACAAAGAACGAGATATCAGACACGTTTCTGAGCACCGGCTCGGTAAACACGTTCCCGCGAAAATGAAACGCACACAACAATACAATTACAACGGAAACGGGGTGGTTTTACATGGGGTCCGTGCCGAGGAGCTAAAAAGGAGGAAGGTAGGGCAGTCGAATTCAGTTGACAGTTGACTCGAGTTCTGTACGGGACTTGAACTCGGAAGCAGAGGAGTAGCCATTTTTAATGTCAGTTACCAAGCAACGGCTAGTGAAGACCAAAAGCCTGGGAAGTCATAGTGCTTCATATAGTGATTTGTGAAGTGTAGTAACGAGTTGTATAAGTGTGCAATAACTTCTGTCATCAGTCCATAACCAATCGATAGTTACACCCCAAAATACATCATAATATTGTCACGTATAAGTGGATATCGTGACTAATTATAACGGCTTCTGGATTGGACGATTAGCTTCATTGGCTCATCGATTACAATTACAGTCAATTATAACAGCTCCCACACTGAACTGCTTCTGAACGACATCTGTCTGACTGACGAATCTCTCCGAAGAATCTCGGACTAAACTCTGGCTGATCTCTGAATCTCTCGAATTCACGAATGAAACCTTTTTCATAACTGCCAGAGAACCGAACCGAGATCACCGCCTCAGAGGGTCCCGTTACTCTTCTCCATGAATGCGTTGCCATGGAAAACATGTCCTAATTCCCAAGTAGCAGTTTGGTTTTCTAAGTGTTTACAACTTTCAGTTTCCGTATCCATGGAAACCATGTTCCGTAATCAGTTGGTTTCCAGGAATCGGTCTATCCCATAGCAACAAGTTCGTCCATTGGTTTCCTAGAAACGGCCCAATTGTCAGAATGTAATACTTCTCGTATTGGTTCATTTGCTGTTAGACCCACTTCGGTATGTGGGAATTGTATCCGCTTGTATTTTAATCATCTCTGTTTGTAGGGTCTGCTTAGAGTAAGCAGGTTGTTACAGAACGAAATATCGTGACTATGTACATGTCAGTTTTTGTTAGGATAGTGAAATATCGAAGGCTGGAATACGTTGAACGTGTAACTCTGATGGAAGAAGCGAGGAATGATTACAAATTTTATGGGAAAATCTCTCGGAAAATATCCGCCTTGAAGAAGAAAGTTTAATTAATAGAAATATATTTTAATTGTAGCATATAATTATGTTTTCTTTCAAAGTAATATACAGTGATAAAGGGTTTTCTATCTTAAATTGACGATTTTATGCCTAATGTTGTTTTCAGTTAGAAATGTCGAGCGTGCATGTGTACGATTCTGAACTGTTATAGATACCATATGTCATAACAAATACCAGAACGAGTATGTTCACAAATTTGTTATTTATGAATTTGTAATAACTGTTCAAAATGGTAATCCTCATCCTCAGCATACATATTTTTCGATAACTTGAAAGTGCAGTTGGCTTATTTTATTACGATTGCTCTGCATGTCGGTTGCACTGTCCAGTTCATCTCAAGATTCAAATTTTTGCTGGTAAATTAGATCTAGTATGTGTCTCATAGAAGAAGAACCCATTGGTTTAAGTCTGAGGATCCAGGTGGCCAATACTGCTTTGCTGCGATAAATACAATCGCTATATTATTTTTTATCGCTAGTGGGGTGGGACTGAGTCCCTTGTACTGCGACCACTTCTGGCCTATTGTACCAGCACCAGATGATAGGTGAGGGTGATTGTGGAGCAACTGATGGAATGAAGATTGGCAGGGGAAACCGAAGTACTCGGAGAAAACCTGCCCCAGCGCCACATTGTCCACCACAAATCCCACTTGACCAGACTTAGGATCGAACCCGGGCCGCCGTGGTGGGAAACCACCAACTAACCGCTTGAGCTATGGCGAAATCAAATCGCTGTAAGTAACATTGGAACCATAGTCAAGGTTTCTATACCACAACCGGATGCAAAGCAAGAAAATAATCCAAACCATAACCGCTTTTCAAATACTCATTGACTCACAGCCGTTCAGAATCGGGAGAGTAACACGTCTTACTGCGGGAGACCGGTTCTGAATTTAAGTCATGAAGACGTAAGTTTGTATTTATTCTTCAGAACCTGCACCGGTGTATGTTTTAAGACATGAAAGTTAAATGGTAACAAATGGTGTGCGCCAGCATACATTGATTTGAGAAGGTTGTGTAACTCGCTGAAGAAAGCACTTAATTCTATACGACAGTTCCTCACATACTTTTGTTAGCCATTGGTACAAACTTTTCGCACTCATAAACTTATAAATCGTGTGATGGTACGAGTGCCCTAAACATATTGTTCTATTTAACTTACATGTTAGTTGATGCAGGTAATTGTGAATAAAGGCAAACTGTCCAGAGCTAATTGTCAGTAAATTACATTGCAATGCAAGCAAACATATGTTCGCGAATATTCTGATAGAGTACAGTAGCTCTCCAAATTGTTTCCTTCGTGGTCGAGTCGCATTCTATGCGCATGTGTGTGTACAGCATCTCAGTGCCGCCCGCGCCATTTTGTTTACTCGAAAGGAAGATGTCTTCCATGCAGCACAAAGTACATTGGCAGCCGTGCTGACAGACGTTTAATTACATGCAATTGAACAAAGGAGCATTAATTTATAGAGCAGTGATGCACTGAGACAGGCATCCGATTGGGAGAGGAAATGTCTTGCATCAAAGTGAGCAGATGGGAGTACATCTATTCAAAGGTAGGAGAAAGGGTTGGTACGAAGTTGCTCCTTAAGCTCATGAACATGTAGCGACTTGCTGAAATGTGAAATAGTTTGGAGGGTTATAACACTAAACACAAATGTTCGCAGCTTAATGTCCGCTATAACATCGCATATGTAACGTACCGTATTATCGACCCGTGAGGCCGGGAACCTGTAAATGTATTATTATTATTATTATTATTAGAGGGGGGTGGGTTTCCCCATGCACTCAGACCAATTATTGGTCCATTGTGCGTCCCCCTTTTAATTTCTACTGTCGCCATACCCTACCGGTACTGGTGCGTGCTATCAGCCCCGTTCAGCCAACGAGGTCGGCCGTCGGTACCTGATATTTCCCCCCTCTACCAGAGGCATTGGAAACTACATGGGCGGGAAATTGTTGCCTAATTTTGCTCAGAGGTCTTCTAGACCTCCGCCAGGTTTGAACCCGCGTACCTTGAGTCATGAGGTGGGAACGTTACCCCTAGACTACGGAGGCCGCTAACCTGTAAATGTAAATAGATTAACATTGTCACATTGATTTTTTGAAATGAACCCGTATTCCTCACATGTAATAATGTCACTTTTCTTGAAGCTACATAAACTTACCCAGAATTCCAAGACGAAAATTTAATGTGACGACAACAACTTCACCGTAGCTCGATAACACGGACCCGTCGTAAGGATTCCCAGAATTCCATTCGAACGATTCACCATGGATGAACACGATGACTGGGTGTTTTGGACTCAGTCTGCTCGGAACTGAAAGAAAAATGGAAAATATTCAATTTTCAGACGAAGATTTGTGTGTGTATGGGCTGGACATATGTAACGGATATGAGAAACATGAAACACATAGTCTTTATGCAATGTTGCTGCCTACTCTTACTGAAAGGCAGAGGCAGTAAGACAGGGCAACGGATGCTATTAGAATAAAAAGTACAATGCCTCTTGAAGATACGACAGAAAATCTGAAATGCTATATATATATCACGTCACCTGAGCGTGCTTAGGTTTAGGTTTTGGATGTAAAATATATTTCTATTCATATTCTCATCCTTCGCCTATTTCTTCCTTTCTTTTGGCCCCTTCTTACTATTTTACCGTTTTTCCTTTTTCCTCACCACTTTCATATTTTCTTTTATTTTTAGTCCCATCTTGTTATGCTTCCCCCCCCCTCCTTCCTCTCTGATTTACGCTAAAATATTCCTTTTAAGCATTTACGGGTTTCGAGGATGTGGAAGTGGGAAATGTACACGTGTTATAGAGCGACGCTTCTACGTCGCTGGCGTTTAGGTTTCTTCTAACTGACGCTAAAAGTATGTACGTCGTTTGTGAGCCGCATATAAGACCATAATATTTTCTTGCGAGGTCCACGTTTTCCGTGAAGAGGTGTTTCAGGCATATACGAGTATACATCAACCGGCTTTTAAATTAAATGGCTTTCTTAAGATTCTGAACCTTTCTTTAATCCTTCAAAGAAAACTGGGATCTGGAGCCCCTGCTTCCTTCTAAGTTCTTTTCAATAGCCATTGCTTGTTCTAACAACTGATGTTCCCCTTCCTCTGGGTTATCGAACTTTCCCCAGCCTCAGCTACCAGCTTCTAACAGCAGCAGCTCACACCTCTGTACCCCAGCGGTTATTTAACTCACTGACTCGCCAACTCCTTATAACAGCTAACTGCCCCCTTCTTATGATATCCCATTAAGGACCTTACAGAAAACATCGTTCCTCTGTTGCTGCTTTTTGCCATGGAAACATGCTTGTTTGCGGAGCCGTTACCTAGCAGCGGCTGTTGTATATTTGTTTATTTCGCTGTGGTCTCACAGCAACGGGTCTGCATGCCACAACACCTCTCCGTTTCTTATCAGTTGCTCTGTGTAAGACTCCGCAGAGGTCATTAAATCAACGGAAAACGGGGGGAATATTAAGTTAATAATGCAAAATTTCGTAAAAATGAGAGAGGCATAAATGTTTTAAGGAAGAAGTAATGAGCGATCAGTGCGAACGAATTACGCTCCATTTGCGTTTAAGTAATCAGTAGGAAAATTAGAAGCAATTTTGAGTCTTCTGGTTTTTCCACAATTAAAATATCATTAAGCTCGTGGAATTAAAAATGATTTTAAGAATTGGTATGGTGTCTGGAAACTAAATTCATTTCAACATATCTTGAAATCTGATGTTAATAGAAGGTTCTTGCTAGACATCGGCGTACATGTCAAGATAATATCAAAAATTGGGTTAGAGGTTCATTCATTCATCAGATTCATCAGATGAACGCTTCCATCCATCCATCAGTAATCTGTCAGACGACAGGTCCACAGCCTCTTCCAAAACAGTTTCTCCTCTTAATGCGATCTTCTGTTTTTGGAAAGAGACTATCCAGGAAAAGTGATAATGTGGTAGTTCTTCCATTTGCTTTCCACATCGCAGTACAACAGCCGTTCAAACCACTCTGGTCACGCCTGTTGCTATACGAACTTGAACCATCTCGAGCATCACTTGCTCTGTGCTTCAAGTCGCTGCTGATGACGCTGCTTCCGGCATCAGTTTTTGGTTTTTGGTGTCTCTCTTCGTCTGATGCCTACCCTTTGACCTGTCCAGCAAGGGAGGCCCTGCCAGTAGCTACGCTAACGCTGGGGTAGCTCTCAGGGTCCTTGGCATACTCAAACCCCCTCACCACGATAAGGTGGAGACACCAACGAGGGGGGGTTAGAGATTAAGGAATGAAATTGTTAACTGTTTCTTACTGGTTGAATTGGTTTCAATGGCAGACATGCGAAAAAGCGCAATGAAATTCCTCATTCAACACAAACAAGACGAGTGTCTGACGCGCTTAGTGACTATAAGCATTACTGTTCAGTTTTATATTTGATTAGCGGAAAAAAATGGATTTTATTAAGAAGAAATTGTAATATTGTAAAATAATATAATCTCTTTTTGCTGTCAGATGTGCCAATTGTTTAAAGACCGCTAACATTTCAGGGCCGATCACCGTCCTTATCATCATGATAAGATCTTGGAGATGGGCCACGGCTGGTACCTCAAACGTAGGTTATATTCAACCAAATGACAAGTGTGATAGCCTTAGAACATTTCATTAACTGTAGCTGCCCTGAAATCTTCAGGTCTGAAAACATTTAAATGGTAAAAGAAAGATTTCAAAAATATGTAATTTCACTGTGTAATGCGCCAGGCTGAAGACTATACATTAATTTGCCGTGAAGTTACAAATGCTGAAATGGAACAACGTATAACCAGGCTGGCCAAACTTGTGTAAAATGGGAGCCGTATATCATGCTGTTCAGAAGTTCTTGAGTGGCATATAACGTGCTCTCGTACCAACAGGTTTCTCGCGTTCAATCCAGCCACGATTACAGCGCCATTAACAGTTTTTCCCGCAAACCAAACGAAAGGTTTGCAAGAGTTGCATGCGGCTTTGCGGGCCACATTCTGCTATATTGTATATTTTGAAAAGGGACGCTTACGAAATCTGGATTCCTAGATGCTTTAGTAATCCCCATGTGCGGCTTTCTGAGAAATTATTGATCGTTTTCTGTCTGGGTCTTCAATAACGGTTGAACTTGCTGGGAAATATCATTACAGTTCGGTGTGAAGGTCATTATGCCCTTAGAAACTAAGCACCTTTGATCATGTGAATCTTCCAGCCAAAGAAAATCTGAAGCTTTAAACTTTAATATCATTCCGTGGAGTTAAATTGAAATATTGTTCCTTTAATCATTTTTAATAATATTAATTTCGGTAATTTTTTATGGTAGTTATCTTTCTTCAAGGAACGAAATTACCTTAAGAGACGACCATGTTTTCTGTGTATCAGTCTGCATGTGTGTCATTTAATAATACAGTATCTCAGTTTTTCAAGGCAATGGTTGTGGTTTCATAGGTTGTGACACCATGCAGCCTTGTACTAGAAACCAACGTTTTGGCGAATGTACTGCCTCCATCATCAGGGTCGGACTGAATCTTCCCCGCTTTAATATAGACAGCATGTTTCTCCGAAGCGTTGGAATTAACCTGCAAGTGTAGACGGTGTCACAACATAGAAGACCACGACTTTAATATTTCAGTTCAATGTAACTTGTATTTACTTGCTGACTAAATCTAGTGGCGAATCGCGGAGTCAGCACAAATATATCGAAGCGGACACAGAAAGAAAACAAAGCAACATACAGCAATTAATATCATGTAATATACAATTCAATTCCTTGTTTTTACGTGCCAACTCAACAGCTGCAGTAGCCAATTAGAGAGTGAGCACAGTGAAACAAAAGTGTAGGGAACACAGTTGTATTATAAATACATCGTCTGATATTCAAGTGCGCAGTGGATATGGGGCAAGCAAATTCGACATAGCACTGATTGCAACAAAATGCCGTAACTACCAATTAAACAAATAAACCGGAAGACTGACGTTAAATAAGTGAGCTTTAAACACGTTGACATTTTGCATACTTGATTTACTGCTATGGAACAGTAAGGAGAAGGACAGTTTTATTGCGTGAAAAGCATTAAAGCCTCTAATATTTTTTCTTGCGCTCTAATGCCAACAGTTTCCAGAAGCACAGCAGGGGATTAAACCGTTATATACTTTCTAGGTATATAATGTCTCGGTGTGACGCCGTTAGAAGAAAATATATGCAATTTCAAGTTACCGAAAACATCATGATACCTGTCTAAAATGTGATATTTTAAAAATAAATCTCTTGTAACATAAAAATATACGACGACTTTCCATCGCGGCGGCCTGGATTCGAACTCATGTGACGTCATATGGGATTTGTGATGGACAAAGTTGCACTTGGTTAGGTTTCCTCAGAGTACTTTTGGTTTCCCCTGCAGCCGTTCTTCTTTTATAGCATCACGGCAAGGACCGCGTAGAAAACACGATTTCTCTGTTGCAGTCATTTCTTGTTTAGCAATGGCATGACACGTTCCATTGTTTGCGCAGCCATCGGCACGGACTGCACACAAAGCATAACTCTTATTTTTACGGGCCGATGCCTAGTAACGGCCGGCTATTGTGAGTCCCCAATTCTTGCTCAGTAATATTAAGAATAATATCATTAATAATATGGTAACAATAATCCACAATAAATGAGATTACACTAAGGAGCAGCATACTGAAGCGAAACAGCCTTCCTTCCAAATCGCGTACAAAGAAATTGCACACGTGCCCGAAGGGCTACGTGTTTCAGCGTTCCTAATTCATTTCGTGAGTACAGAGAATTTAATAGTGTCCACGACTGAGTCATGGTTCGTTTTGTTCTTAATAGCTTTTAAGAATGAATGCAAGTAAAGCCTCAAGTGGCAGGCTTCTTTGCTTCAGCAATCCGCCTGACTAGGATACATCGCATTCTAGAAACACTGACGAACTTCTTAGTCTGTCTCTTGATAAAATGGCGCCTTGCATCGCCAGTCACGTTACAGAAGCGAGTACGAATTTTTGGTTACGTCTCAGCCATAAATTGAAATTTAGGGTCTGAAAAAACATCCTTCGAAACAAGTATATCTGCGATTTATATACATATTAAGATAAATGTCTTTAGGATGCAACTCCGTGTAGTTTGGTAAAGATGTTCGCCGACGTTTCACAAGAACGTACTTCGTCTTCAGAGTGAGCAAACGACGTGTAAGAAATAATTGGAGATCTGTGTTCCCACTCATCTTACTTGCTGTCTTTTTGTTTCGCACATCTTCCATACTGAAGATGGAGGCAATATGTTCCGTCTACGCGGCATCC